AACAAGCCAGATGACACCACAAGTAGCTGTAGAAAAAATCAGTCACTCCCTTGTTACAACAACTGAAAACGGGATGTCAGATAATAACACTTTTAAGGTGGCTTGCCAAGAATTTGATGATTACCTTACTGAGAAGGCAGTTGAACGACCTGTTGTTTTATTATCTGCCCGGACAAAGTTCACTATTCAGTTACAACGGTTTAATATAACTCCTTTCAAAATAAATTTGGTTATTTATTTCTCCTCCTGACACTACTCGTTTAACTCAGTTAATTGAATTGGTTAATAAAAATCTTCATCGTGAGTACAGATTTGCCAAGAATTATCTTTTTAACCCAATGCAATTAATTAATCGAGAGGGATTTATGACCATCTTAGGCAATACATGGAGGAAATGGGCATCGAAACCGGTTCTTGTTTCTAGTGCAAAAAGAGTTTCAATAACACCTTTTGAATTAAATGTTAACTTTATACAACAAGATAAATTTGAGAGAGCTGCTGCATGCATTCATAAAGAAGAACTAGCGTCAACTTCTTTTAAAAAGTCTGAATCAACCATTTTGTCACCAGTTGGTAAAAGGAAATTTTTCGGCAAGTTACTGGAAAGATAAGTTTGACCAGTCTCAAATCTTGATTAGAGAAATGGCTGAGCAGAGCCTCCAATTAAAAAATATTCCTGATCTGCTAACTATTAACAAATCAAATCAAACCTTGAAAAAATATCTTCTCGTGTTATTTAGGTCTATGGTTCAATCCGTGCAAAAAATGTTGCAGCAAAAGTGAAAGATATAAAAGAAGAAAAACGACGAAAGATAACAGCAAAGGAGGATGCCAAAAAAAAGAAAGAAGAAGCTAAAGAAAAATTTATTAAATGTAAAGTTGAATGTTTTTGCAAACAAAGGAAATGTCAAGCTTTTGGCATAAAGCAATGTCCTCATTATCTTGATGCTCTCCGTTCAATTTGCAGCAAAGTGAGTTGCAGAGTTGATGGTGTTAAACCGGTTATGTTTTTACCTAAAAATCAGCACTTCGCCACATTTATAAGACTGATATACGACTATTATAATAAATGCAACGACAATCAATAACAATTTTTTGAATTAAAGTAATCAGTTAAAGTACTAATTTATTTATCTATGTTATCTTAACATTGTTGTAGTAACCTATTGTTATAATAATATTATAAAGTCTGCAGCCATTTTAGATGTCTGTGTTATTACTGCTGTGTACAAATATTATTTTTAAGGTGAATCAATGATTTACTTTAAAAAAAAAATAAAATACAATAGTTATTTAATGTTGCTGTTTTTTATTACAAAACTTCAAAATTTCATGGTCTGTAAAGTGAATTCTATAAAATGTTCACCAAAAACAACAATAATACTTCCTTTCTTTATGAGGTACTATACAGATTTATAACAACTTGATAAAAAAAAACTTTTTTCAGTATCTAGTTATAATCCATAGGTAATAGAAAAACTATATTTTGCTAACTTTTTCTCTGATAAAGCTTTTAGGCTCCTTCAAAAAAAAAAAAAAAAATACACAATTTTACAACTGAAATTTTTACTCCAGTGAAAATACCAAAGTATTTAACAAATAAAAAACCCACTAAAGCTACTTTAATTTATAGGCTGACATATTAGCTATTATAATATACCAAGTTTTTTGAATCCTGATCTATTTCTACGTGTTAGGTCACTTAAGCCGACATTATGGTTTTTGCAGTACGGTTATTTTTGCGGTACGTATACCTGTATATAACAACAACGACAAAAAAGGAGTGATTTTATATCCATAGAACCAGATGGTTACTCAAGAAAAAAATTGCATAAAATAATCATAAAAAATTAAAATCAAATTATAGTGAACAGCAATTGAAGCTTTATTACACGACTGCACGTCTGGAACTGAGCATGGGATTCCCTCTCAGCAAGTAAAAAGAGTCAAATATATGTGTCAAAAGTAGAGTCAAATTTCAAGTGTCAAATTCGGAGTTACCCCGCGTTCGCCTTTACCCCACTCTCCCCAAAGTATGTAAAACATGGTGTATCTAAAGTTATGGTAAGAAACTGGTTCTCATTCAATGGCAAAAGACCTATTTTTAAAAATAATGGTATGACGGACCAACATTTTTATGTTGATATGCTCAATAATGTCATGCTAGTCTATGCTAGTAAATTTACGCTACTAAAATGGATTTTCCAAAAAACAAACAATCTGAAAAACGCAGTTTCAGAGCAAAGGAATAGTTTCAGGTTAATGGGGTTAAGGATATGGAGTGGGCTGCTGAGCCACCCGACCTTTACAGAAACGTTAAAAGGTTTTTCAATGAAATAGTTGAGGTAAATGTTATACTTATTTTTTCATCTTTTTAATACTAACACAAAAAATTTTTTTAATTTTATTTTCAGATACCACTGCTTTTTAATTGTCCGCGACCTTTTTTGATATTATCATCTGAAATAAAATATAAAATAATACCATTGATTTGATTATTTTTACTCAACTTAATTGAAAAATCAAAATAAAAGTAATTAAACTTTTTTGGTAATTATCGGTAATTAAGAGCAGCCGGAGTGCACTTGCCTTAGAAACGTAAGATCCGTGGTTCAAACCCCACCGCTGGGCAAGTTTTACAACATTGGTTGAGAAGGACACGTGAACTTCCTATGAAATGCTCTTCCGCGGTACTCTGTGATAAGACCGTGAGGGTTAAAGCAGAGCCGTGGCTAGACTCCCCCACAACATTTTTAGGGGCCCAGCATAATTAGGGGCCCTTTTTAAAAGTTAAAAAAAATAATTTTTATTTTTTATGATAAAAAATATTTAAATATATATAGCTACTGTTACTATTAATAAAAACCTGGTCCTTTAATCATAATATTACCTAAATTATGCAAGCGTAAAAAAGCAACAACATTTTTAATGCAAAAAAAAAAAAAAGAATTAATACTCCCGAGGTTTGAATTATATTATAAAACTCAAGCTTTATAAATTTATTATTGTTATATTGCAATTTCGAATTATATCATAAAAAACAAACAATGAAAGAAGGTTTCCAAAAATTTATATTTATCTTTCGTTAGTTTTTCACGATATAAATATTGGTATGAAAAAAGTGAAAAGTTGTGGGCATTAAGAGAAGAGAAAACCGCAAAATACCTCAAACAAAGGGAGGAAATCACAAAATTGCCCAAACTAACACATTTTTGAAACCAGCAGTTTAGCCTGAATGTATTTCGACACCGACAGAAACTACAAATAATTATGATTTTCATTATTTAAATACTAGAGTTAGATAGGTTGATATGTGAGTCTACATCAAATGGCATAACAATTCCGCCTACTTTTCTTCGTGATGATCCTTCTGAGTTGCCTGATGATGTTTCTGACGCACAGAGGTGTGACATTGTTAAACGTGGTTTTAAAAAAATTGAAATTGATTTTCCAAACAATTTATAAAGAAGACGATTTTCACTGAATTATTATAACAGCAAGATAAAGAATGAAGAAATCTTTGAACGGGCATGGCTCGTATATTCTTTGAATAGCAATAAAGTATTTTGTTTTTGTTGCAAACCTTTTGGGATAACTTCTTCACCATTCCGACAAGTAATTAATACTTGGAAAGACTTATCAAAAAAACTTAAAGAACACGAAACATGCAGTGCACATTTTAAGTACTTTGAACACTGCATGATTTAACGAAAAGGTTAACTTATATTTCTTTTAATTTATTGCTTTGTTACTTTTTTTTCCTAATTAATTTTTCCCTCAATTTTGGTAATGCAGGCATTGCAAATCAAGCTACCATAGACGAGCAAAAACAAAAGTTTCTTGTCTATGCAGTGCAGTGTTAGAAAGGATATTAGACATTACCTTATTTCTTTCTGCAAGAAATCTTGAATTCTGTGGTTCAGACACAAACATTGGTTCAAAGAGCAAGGAAATTTTTTTGGGGTGTTTGAATTAATGGCTATGAACAATACCGTTCTCAATGAGCTTATGCAAAGAACTCAGGGCAAAGAAACCAAGGATCACTATTTGAGCAATGACACACAGAATGAGGTTTAAGGAGGAGATTGAATCAAAAAACCTGTCTAGGGTAAAAAAAGCAAAATACTATTCTATTATTTTAGATTGTACGCAGTGCATTTGGCACAAAGAAAAAATGAGCATCGGTCATCTATTAGTGCAATTTCTTTTTTTGGTGTCCTTGTCAAGGTTATATACACTCTTTTCATTGTCTCCTCCTCGATGGGAATTTTTAAAATTATGCGCGGCTGTTATATAAAAAAATGTCGATTTATTTATACAAACGTATTGATTGCACTCGGCAACCTGAACATCAGTATAAAGCAGATTTTTTTTGCCATTAATTGATATGTCAATTGCATCAGTAAAAGAGCGTTTTGAACAGATCAGTATTTTCACAAATCTTAATGATTTTCTTTACCAATCTGAGAGTCTTATCAAAGCCTGTAATGAAAATTCTCTGTCTATATATTGCAAAAGTTTGCAAATGAAGCCTGATGATATAGATGTTGAGGATTTAAAAATTGACTTAAAACTATTTGTCATAGTTAACAAGGAGGAAAAACATGCCTCAAAGAAGAGCTGCAAGAAACTTATCCCAATTTAGTTGTTGCGTTACGAACCATTCTTACTGTACCAGTTAGTGTTGGAAGTGCAGAACGTAGCTTTAGCAAGTTAAAACATTAATACAAATTAAAATTTTTTATAGGTTCGTATAAATAATCTTGCTTCATTATACATAAATACATGTAGCTATATTTCTTTGTATCTTTAAATAGGTCAACAATGGTCGATGAAGGCTTGTCTTCTTTAGCAACGCTGTCGATTGAAATCGAGGTTGCAAGGAAGTTATGAAGGCATGAGTTTGCAAGCATGAAAACACGTTGCAAACCTTTTTTTTTGATGGTTTGCGACGTACTTGTATTATCTGCGTAATACATTAACTGTATTTAAAAAAGCTCTTTACTAGTAAACTCTATCAATTTAACAATTATAAAATATATTTAATTGAATTTAAGCGTTAACTTGACTGTTTTTAGTCTTATGAACGGCGACGTTAAAATATGTCAGGTACCCTGCTTTTTGGGGTAATCTGTAAATTTTATCCAATTTTTTAGAAAAAATAAATAAAAAGTTGGGGCCCAAATGGCAAGTTTTGGGAGGGGGAGGCCCCAGACCCACTTGCCACGGCACTGATTAAAAGGATAAAATTACATAAAAGTTGTTCCAGGTACTATAAACTATAAGAGAAATAAAGTATACGAGACGAATATTATTAATCCTACCCTAACCAAACCCGAACCTTTAGGGTTAGGCAAAGGGTTTTCGTAAGAGAAGGGCTTTCAATAAAATAAGCTTTATTGTTGGTTCAGGGTAGTTTGGTTTTTAATAAATTTTTTGCGTAAAACGTTATTTTACAGACTTACTATAGGGGTGCCTGAAATACACGTCCGCCAAAAAAACAACCTTTACAATCATCAGATATTCATCAAAATTATAAGTGCTTTAAAAATATATTTTTCAATCACATTTCACGAAATCATTTTTCTAATTTAAAACTACTTTTTCAAAATCGAAAATCAAACTTTGAACTTCGAAGTTGTCGCGAAAAAAGTTCTCCTTAACACTTAAAAAATCTTTATATGTATATAAAAAAAAAAAAAGACAAAATTTTTTTTTGTAATTTACTAATCGAATATTCTTTCATAAGAAAATATATAATAAAAAAATTTATAACTTAAAAAAATTTATAACTAAAAACATTTTTTTAACTATAATAAACTTATAATTTATAAAGTTTATATAATGTATAAAATAATAAATCTTTGAATATCCAAAGATATTGTAGCTGCAATTACGTCGTAATAAAGTATCATTTTGATTAAGAATGACTTGATTCAAAAAAAGTAAGAAAACAACAATTCGTAGAATCCTCTACAACGCAAACAACTGTTCTATATCTTCTAAGGATTTTCCTTTGGTTTCTGGTACACAAAAATAAACGAAAAAAAAACTGGCTAACGAAAATGCGGAAAAAAACCAAAATGTTCCTTGTTCATAAAACGCCACAATCATATTATGAAAAAATTTTGTAACCACAAAAACAAGTAGCCAGTTAACAAATGTGACAATACCACTTGCAAAGCCTCGCGCTCGAGGTGGGAATATCTCAGACATTAGCAACCATGGCAAAGGTCCCCATCCAATTGAAAACACGATGATATAAACAATAACACAAAGAACAGCCAACCACGAAATCTGATGCAGAGGAACTGTATGCGAGATTTTTCCAAAGATTGAAATTGTCTTTTGATCGGTATCTATTTCAGCAATATCATAATAAATTCCAAGTAGAAGGGTGCATAGAAACATTGATATACTACCAACCATTAATAGCAACCTCCGTCCCAACTTATCAACAACTAAACAAGAGACTACAGTAGATAATACCTGTGCACCACCAACTAATAGGGAAATTTTTTCCGCACTATTGATTCCAGCAGACATAAATATTTTGGCATCAAAAAATAAAACGGCATTTATACCACAGAATTGTTGAAATACCATCAAAAAAGAACCTATAATCAAAGGTCGATACAAACCAGGTGTCATGAAGTCCCTGAAGGATGCTTTTTCTTGCTTATCTAAATAAAGAACCAAATAACTCATTTTTGTGATTTATATATATTTTTTCATGTAATTTTGTATTTAGTAGTAACTATTCTTGTAATTAAATAATTACCAAGATTATTCTCAATATCGCAGATTTCTGCTTCAGCGTCATACAAAGGACCGCGCAACCATTGAAGCCCTTGAAGCCCTAACTGACGCTGACCATGAGCAAGTAGCCATCTAGGTGTTTCAGGCATTAAGAGCATCAATAGAACCATAGCTACTACAATAAAATTAGCAAACATTGCAGTCCATTGCCATGTCAAAAAAGCACCAACTAAATAAGCAATAAAGATACCAACTACAACACCAAGTTGATTGATAGCACCTAAACCTCCTCGCAGTCTAGGTGATGCAATTTCTGCAATATAAACCTAAAAAATACTTATATAAACCAAAAAATACTAGAGAAAACCGCTGTTATTATTATAGTATTATAAAAACAACAGAAATACTAAAACTAGATAACTTTTTTATTCAAAATTTTTATCTTATAAAATAGCAAAAAGACAAAAAGAACTATAACAAACTTGGAAAAAAAAAGACCTCAAACTGACAAACAACGGTTTATTTTAGGCGTCTCGAGGGCAAGATTAACATGAATTTTTTTTTAGGGCATAAATTAGTATTTAAATTTTTGATAAAAATAGTATGGTTTTTTTTTCCTCCCCTAAAAATAGTATAATTTAAATTTTAAATCAGCTGAAATTTAGATACTACGCTGTGCGGTGTTGCTTTTACAGCTGTTAAAAAAATTAAAATGTGGTAACAATAGTATGAATTTAAAACATACATATAATGAGTAATTTGAATCTGATTTTACATACATTCCTAAACATTACAATGAACATAAATTGGACGCCTTTAAACGGAAAGGAACCTAGCGCCATGAGTTTGGTTTTGAAAAAATGGTTTTCTTTCTGTTTATCACAGTATACTGTATACAGCATTTTACTACTTTTTCTTGTTCTCTTCCTGCTTATTGACATATCGTTAGTTAAAGCAGGTTTTTTTTACTATGTAAATTTGGGAATTCTCTACAAGATGCGCCAATAACTGATTTTATTTAAAAATGGCGCTTGGTTTCTTTCTGTTTAAAGATGTCCAATTAAAATTGTGCCGAACAGCATAATAACTAAATTTCAGCTGATTTAAAATTTATATTATACTATTTTTAGGGAAGGAAAAAAAAAAAAAAAAGATATTTATTTATGCCTTAAATCTATGTAAAACTTGCCCTCAAGACACTTATAATAAGCTGTTAATAGTCATTTTAAGTCTTTTTTTTTTTCTAAATTAGGGTAAGTTGGCAAATTTCGAGCAGTTTGCTGAACATTTGTCGTAAACGTTATACAATATCACTAAACAGCCACCAAAATTATAATGAGCTCAATTTAGGCAGCCAACTGTTTTATCTACAAAATAGTAATAATTTAGGCGATTATTAAATACTATATTTTATTTATTTTTTTGTTTTCGTTTTGAATTTTTTTTTTGATGATTTGCACAATTTTGTGCAAGTTGACGAAGTAAAATTTAATTTCATGCACTTTTTTTTATAAGTTAAATTTAGCAGATTTATTCAAGATGAAATACTTAATTCATAAATAGTTTTTTGCAAATATTTTGCTAGGGATTACATATCTGACTTAGAGTTGGATTACTTGTTGGAAAATAATGTGGGGCCCGCGGCTATTATCAGCAACAGCGGCCATAGCAGCTTCCTTGTTATATTTTTGGTACTTCTGTCTTTTCTTAGAGTCCATAGTCACAATAACAAACTTAATTAAAAAATTTTTACTTGTATATTCTACTATGATGAAAATATATTTTTAAAAAGTTGAAATTTTAATTCAAATATTGCTTAGTTAAAAGAAATCCAGCCATGCGGATAATTTCGCAGCTGTTGCTTTAATATTTTTGATTTGTTTTAAAAACATCATTAGCAACCTTATTTTTTACATCAAAAAAGTATTTGTTTATTATTATTTATTTATTTTTACCTTTCCAAACATATTTGTTTAAATTGGGTTAATGATTAGTACTTCTTTAAAAAAAATGTTGTGCTTTATTTTTGTAAAGTTAAGTGTAAATGTTAAGTGTAAAAAGATTTACATTTTTTCACTTTACATGAAAAACCGATGTATCGTAACTTATTACAGTTTTTTTAATATAACACAGTTTGAAAATTTTGGACCCTAATACAAAAAACAACTCCTATGAAAACCCTTTTGAGGGGTGTAAGTGCATATGATAGGTTTCTCATAACAAGTAATTTTGAAATCAGGGATTACCGTCCGCAAATCTTATTTGACTTTATTAGTTTTATTTTAATAAAACGCTGTGACTTTTACTGAAAAATTTTTTTGACACAAGTTTACACAACTTTTCTAAATATAACAAGTATCAAAAGGTTAAGAAAGTGTTACTTGATGGTATTTGGTGTATTTTAAAACACCAGTGTGATTTTTTTAAATTCTTATCACCAAAATAATGTCAACAAAATTACGGCAATTGTTTTCCGGGAAAGGGCTGCATAAATATCATAGTTTTGAAGAAAAATTTGTAGAATATGCATCAAAAATGCCCAATTCAGCAAAAACCCATGAGGATTGTCGAAAATCTGTGTGCATTATCTGCATGAAGAAATGAGACCAAGTTCTGACAGACTTTTTAAAGCAAAGGATTCAGCGCCTCATCAAGAATGATCTGAGCTTCAATGACTGCAGAGTTCCTCTTGCCTCATGTCAGACATGTCGTTTTAAACTGAAAAAGCTTGAAGATGGGGATCCTAAGAAGTGTAAACCAAGATTGTACAGGTTTGAAGACATCCAAATAAAACCGGCAACTCGAAGTTCAAACACCTGTGATTGTTTGATCTGCCAAATTGGGAGGCTCAAAGGTAAAGAAACTCACCCACTTGAGCAAAAAGATCTGCCTGCAACAACCAGTCAGCCACCTAAAAGTTCAGAAAAACGTTGTACAAAATGTTTGTCTGTTCTCTCACGAGGCCTTTCTCATCATTGCACAATTGGTTCACACCATGAAAACTTGAAGCAACTGGCATTGTCAGATCCTAAAAGAGCTAAACAAGTTGCATCTTCCATTATTGCATCCAAGGAAGCATCTCCTGGAGGAACAATTCGACCCATAGTCCTGTCCAAAAATCTGCCAAAATCATGACACAAGTCTCAAAGCAAACTAGTGTGAAAAAGCAATTTCTTGTGGCTGTTGCTGATGACACTCCTGAAAATTATTGGAATGTGCAAGAGATTTTTCGACTCATCAAGCTTCAAGAACTAATTCCATTAGAAGCTGCAGTAATTTCTTGCGATATGAAACTTGCAAACATTATTTGTGGCATCCAGTCTCATAGCAGCAAGCACCCTTGCTGTTGGTGTGATATTGAGTCTTCAAAGCTTCTTCTGTGTGGGAATCCCCGATCCTTTGGAGCTATAAGAGCTCAACATCAAAGCTTTGTGGGTAGTGGCGGAGATGTAAAAAGATCCAAGGAGTTCAAAAATGCTGTCCACAGTCCTTTAATCTTTGGTCCTGATCAAGCACTGATTTTGGAGGTCATCCCACCTATGGAGCTTCATCTTCTGCTAGGGGTGGTCAACCATCTGTTCAAATGCTTATTGCAAAAATGGCAAAAGGCCACAGAATGGCCAACTTCATTGCACATCAAGATTTAGCCATTTCATGGAGGACACTTCAATGGCAATGACTGCATGAAGCTTCTGAGGAAAATTGACAAATTGGCTGAAATGGCTGAAAATGAGAGCACTTCTGAACCATCTCAATTCATTCAGACATGCGGACGGTAATCCCGGATTTCAAAATTACTTGTTATGAGATCCCTATGATATGTACTAACACCCCTCAAAAAGGTTTTCATAGGAGTTGTTTTTGGTATTAGGGTCCAAAATTTTCAAACTGTGATAAATATTTGGACTACCGACATGGGGTTAGCAGTATCTTGATGCAGAAAGGTTGTACTATATGAAACATAAAACAACACTTTGATTAAATTAGTGTCAGTGTGATTTTTTTGACGCGAAAGCCGTTTGTACAAAATTCAATGCTGCCCAAAATTCACCAACTTACCCTTGTCCTTTGAGGGGAAGGAAAGAATGACTTAAAGAAAACAAGAAAAAAAAAAAAAAGAATTTCTACTTCGATTACTAATTACAGCAATTTTTTGTATTATTATTAATGAAAAAAATGGTTATTATTCTATATAAGAAAAAATGTATACATAAGACTACTTGAAAATGAATAAATGTGTTTTTTTGCTTAAATTGGTATTTTAATGCAAAAATGTGGTCATCCAAAAAATTAGCAACTTTTTTATAATTACTCTAAAAAAATACTAAAATCAATAGTTAATGGCATACCCTTTACTTTTTAAAATCATGGAATATCTTCTCGGCATAGACTTTATGAATTTATTGATTTTTATAGCTCATTAGCTTTATATAGCTCATCTGCATTTTTGAAGGGTTCTTTGTGTTTTAGGGAAAGTTCAACTTAACATAAATTTTCAATCGGGTTGAGATCAAGGGATTAAGCTGGCCATTTCATTACTTTAATTTGATTTGTTTCAAACCATTATTTAACAAGTTTAGAAGTGTATTTAGGGTTATTGTCTTGTTGAAATCTCAATAAAAGTGGACTATTATCAGCATGAGGAACCACTTTTTCTTAGAGAATATCATGATAAATATATTGATCCATAATACCATTTACTCTGTAAATAGATCAGACTCCACTAAAACCAGAAAAACAACCCTAAACCATTGCATCTTTTCCACCACCATGCTTGATTGTTCCTTTTGTGTATTTAGGATCTAAGCATTTACTTTTAGGCTTACGTACCTTTAAATTGCCGTCAGGATCTTTGAAATTGTACTTTGATTCATCATTCCACAAAATCTATTTCAATTATTTTAGTCCAGTCTCTATGAGCATTTGCAAATTCAATTCTAGTTTTTCGATTCTTCTGAGAAATGAAAGGTTATTTTTGCTGCTCTAAAGCCCAATAGTCCTGAAAGTTGTAACCGTCTACAAACTATATTTTGAGCCACAGAAAGGTTCAGTTTTTTAATGATATCATTAGCACTATTGAAAAAAAAAATTTTAACATGACGAATAAATTTTCTGTCAGTGAAACAACATGTTTTGCGTGGTCTTCCGCCTTTATGTTCTGTTTTTAAAAGACTGCCTTTAATAAGTCATTTGATTATTCGAGATACAATCGACTTGTTAATGAAGTATTTTGTTGCAATTTCTTTTTGTTTGACTCTATTCTTATAATCTTTTACAATATATTCTCGAAACGCTAAATTATACTTGTTTCCTACCGTTATAAAATCTAAAACAACATAAATACGCTATTCTCAAATTAATATTGTAATGATTGCAACATTTTCCTCTCTGGACAAAAATTTACAATTAGTCGATTCTCATTTGATAAGTATTAATAACTACAACACTACAAATCCCTTGAACATTATTACCACAAAAGGAATTCTTGTGCGGATGATTTTTCATGAGTTTTCTAGAGTAGTTGTAAAAAAGTTGCTAATATTTTAGTAGCCATATTTTTTGTATTAAAATACCTAGAGAAGCAAAAAAACATCTTTATTCATTTTAAAGTAGTCTTATTATGTACAAATCTTTTTTCTTATATGTAATATTAACCATTTCATTTGAAACATAGTTAAAAAAAAAATTGTTGTAATTAGTAATCAAAGTAGAAACAAATTTTTATTTATTTGGATGCTAATGTTTTGGAGGTCAGTATATATGACAAAAAATCAAATATAAATTAATAACATTAAACACAAAAAAATTTTAATGTATATAAATATTGAAATGCAAAGTTATCTCATAATGCGAAACTTACTGGTACAGATAAAGAGCTCATACCAACTGCAATGCCAGTTAAGATTCTTCCTGAATACAACATAAGAACATTGGAAGCATAGCTTATTAAACACCATCCTGGCATATATAATAGTGAAGTCATTATAATTGTTGATTTTCTTCCAAATTTGTCAATAAAATATCCTGCTACCATGCTTCCAATCAATGCTCCAATAGCAATTAATGACTATAAACATAAACATATATATATATATATATATATATATATATATATATATATATATATATATATATATATATATATATATATATATATATATATATATATATATATATATATATATATATATTGCTACTATAAATCTACTAAAGTTATATTATGTCAACTTTTTTTCGTTAACCTTTAAAATGTAAAACTTTGATTAACAAATAAAAAAGTTTAAAAAAAAACTCAAACTAAATCGAATCAGTGTCTTTTAAAAGGGCTGATTTGACATTTTTTTTGAAATTCACTTTTTGTGTGTTTTGTGTTCTTCTATGATAGCTTCATCAATTTATGTTAAAAATGTGTTTAAATTTTATCTTCTTACTTAAATAAAGCCACCTGAAAGTTTTCGATTTTTTTTAAAAAAGCGAATTTGCCTCAAATACGCCCTTTTTAAAAAAATTGCTCTACAGCTGATTCATATTTTTAGGCGCAATACACAAAAAATGTTAATAGCATTTCGAATTAATACTTTTGTTTTTATTATAAGATTTTAATGGACCTCGTTATTCCAAGTCCTAGAAAGAGGAAAGAAATTTATCCTTGTGAGTACAAATATAACAAAATAAAACAAACACGTTTAATGAAATTCCACCAAAGTACCCTATGTTTAACTTATATATATATATATATATATATATATATATATATATATATATATATATATATATATATATATATATATATATATATATATATATATATATATATATATATATACTTATCATAAATTTAATGTTTATATAAGTCTCATGTTTACATGAAATTATACTAAAATTATAAAAAATAATATACTATAAAATTTTGAAACATTAGTCTTATTTCATGAAAGCATGAGTTTAAAATAATTAAAATGTATTATATGTTTTATATGTCTAAAATTTATAAAATAGCATACTTCAAAATATTTTAACCCTAAAAATCTAACCCCAAGTCTAAAACAGCTATAGTACTTAGATTATATGTATAATCTGTAATATAAGTAAATAATTTACAGATTTTACATATTAAACCTTTCTTGCATAGTAGTTTAATATGCAGTTAGCTAAGATTTATTATGATTTTTTTTTCCAGGTAGTTAAATTTTGTTATAGTAAGCCTATGCCTATATAATAATTGAAATTATAACATAGGTGAAAGCACTAAAAAGTCAAAAACTCTTAATATGATTTGGTCTATTTCCCCACAACTTTGGTTGTAATGTTGTTCTCTGTTTAAGATTACAAATAATGCTGTGTATTTTAATAAAAACATTTTCTAGCTTGTATTAATTTTATATTAATTTTTCTGATTTTTTTAATAAGGTGCAAGAAAAAGTGTTTAGAGAACTTTGGAGAGGCTAACTGTGTGGATATCTTTTCCAAATTTTATGATATAAAAAGCTAAGACAAACAAGATTTTTATATTCAAGGGTTAATAGATATCACTAAAGTTAAAAGAAGACTGCCACATCAAAAGGATCTTGAAAACCTGAAGCAGCCAAATAGTTTCTCTTCAATCATGTGATTGTAGGCAATGTGCACATAGATATGTTGCAGTGTACTTTTATCTGTCTTAAGTATTAGTGAAAAACAATTATGGAGAATAAGGAACCTTAAGGGAATTGGAATAACCCTTGAAGATAAAAGAGGAAAAGGTATTACTAATTGTCTTTTTCAGAATGTTTATGGCATTGTTAGTAATCACATAAGATCATTTCCACTCAAGGAATCACACTACTTGAGAAAAAAGTATATTACCTCAATGCAAGTTTAAATGTAAAAACAATGTGGCAACTTTTTTGTGCAAAAAAATCCAGGTTTAAAAGTGAGCAAGTCTTTTTACTGGAACCATTTTAAAAATAATTTAAACTTACGGTTTGGGCACCCACAAGTGGATACTTGTTGCACGTGTGAAGAATTAAATCTTAAATTGAAATCATTACATCTCAATGATGTAGCTAAAAGAGCAGCACAGACTGATTTAGATGTTCATAAGCGCAGGAATAATAAATTTTACAATGCTTTAAAACATGAAACATCAGAAAATGGCTTAAAAGAGGAGCACATTCTATCATTTGCATTTGGCTATATGAAGACGATAAGCTTGCCAAAAATATCCGTCCAACAACTTTATTATATGAGACAGCTATCAGTCAATGTTTTTTTTAACATAACATTAAAAACATTAACATTAAAAAGAAAAAAGTCATGTATATACCTAATGAAGTTGCAACTTTTTTAAATGATTATTTGATCTCAGTTCCATCAAAGTATAATACATTACCTTTGCTTTGTGACAACTGTAGTGGGCAAAAAAAAAATCAGACCTTATCACATTTTTGTTTATACTTAACTAACAGTGGTAGGTTTGATAAAGTTGAACAGTTCTTCCCAATGAGAGGGCATAGTTTCCTCCCTTGTGATAGAGACTGGTATAACTTCAAATGTTTTAAAAACACATGACTGTCTTTATCACATGCATCAACTCACTTATTATTAGCAGCTCCAGACCACAAAAGTTTACGGTGAAAGAAATTGTAGGTGCAACTGAATTTTTTGATGATAAAGTTTGGAGCCCAAAACATTAAAAAAAATCTTGTATTTCTTCAGAAACCAATAGTAAAAATACCTCAAAAGAAAAGAAGGTCACTTTTCAATTAGTAACTTGTTTCTTTTTGTATATGAGCATGATAAAAAAGGCTACATTAAGGCATTCACCAATAATAATGGTTTGGTCTGTCATACATTTTTTATGTCCAAACATATGTGTACTGTACCACATTTTTAATTTTAACTATAAATTGGCATTTGACTAATGTCACAGAGATAATGACTAATGTCACAGAGAGTCATATTAAAGATAATAGCATTATCATTAATATTAAACCAACAGCAAATGGTGACAAACATATTTTGAAATTACAAACTTAAAATTAGATCAAATTCTATACTTTCCCATGGTTATTTCATTTCTTTAATTATATTAAGAAAGGAATAATGTCATAAATTGTAAAAAAAGAATAATGTAGCAAATAGTTAAAAAGGAATGTTTCTAATTTATTATTGTTGCTTTATCAGAAATAACAACATTGTTAAAAAAAACAAAAAAACAGAAAGTCACAATTATATTTCTTTCCAAAGAACAATTAAATATAATATAGCTGATACATGTAAATATAAAAATGTTTATGATTTATGAAAATATTGTTATATTTACATGTATAAATTTTATTAAAGCGTTTATAAAATTGATAAGCTACCAGTCCAAACCAAAACCCTCACACAATAGAGTGGTATTTTTAACATGTTCAACCTATTAAAGTCAGTCAATGCATGTATACACTCAAAAATGTGATAATTTGAAACACTATTCCTTATTTTGTTTTTCAACAATAAAAACATATGAATAATCATTATTCCACTAAACCCCTAGGGCAACCCTAGGGGTTTAGTGAAATAATAAATTTAAACAATGTGCAAAAAGATTTAAGTTTTGTTTCAGATTTGGTTTTTACAAAATAAAAAATAAGTCACATCATGCTTTTTTAAAGCTTTTTTAACCCTTGCAACTCTTTTTTTAAAGCTTTTTTAACCCTTGCAACTCAAATTTTCAGTTTTTTTTACTAGTAAATAGAGCTTATATCTAACATAATTGTCAATTAAAAGTTTGTAACAAACTTTTTAGATAATCGTCATTCAAAGTTAATGTGGTTTTTTATAAAATTAACTTTTTATAATATTTTATAAATATAAAATTATTATTATTATTATTATTTTTGATTCTTAGAACTTGAATAAAACTATGGAGACTTATTTATTTCAAAATTACCATTATGTATAAAAGTTTAAATTGACTTAAAACATAGGATAGTTAAATATCTGGTATATTCAGCTCGATTCAAGCTAGATATCATATCTAGTACACCTCTAATTAAAAGAAAATAAAACTTACAGCAAACCATGAAAACTCATTTTTATCAATTTTCAAATGTGCATCTTCTTCCATTTTAGATTCAGTTGGAGATGTATAACCAAGTGTAAAACCAAAACAAAGTGATGCCAATGATGCAGTAACTGCAGCTGCAAAAACAGAACTAAATCTATCTTTGCTTTCAATCAAAGGAATTTTATCAGATGAAGACATTTTTTAAACTACAAAAAAATAATAAAATAAAGAATCAAGGAAATAAAATATAAAAACAAACTACTATAGCCAATAAACATAAAGGTTACATTTATATTTGTTAATAAGGCAGCATTTTTTACACTTAAGAGAAACAAACTTAAAGTAAATATAAATAGTATTTAAAAACAAATATAAATAAATTATTTAACAAAAGAATAGCAAATTGCTACAAATTAAAGAATAAATAAATAATAGAGTATATATATATATATATATATATATATATATATATATATATATACATATATATATACATATATATATATATATATATATATATATATATATATATATATATATATATATATATATATATATATATATATATATATATATATATATATATATGTATATATATATATATATATATATATATATATATATATATATATATATTATATATATATATATATACACACTTACTAAAGCGTGTTTTGATAAGCATTTGCTCACTTTTTGTGAGCTCACCTTAAGCTATTCTCTTTTTTTCGATAAAGAAGAAGAAAAAAACGAAGAATGATGAATAAAATGATTGCTTCCCCATCCCAAACCCTCAGTCGATGTAGCAGCACTTTACTGCGAGTCAGGCTATTTGTCAGTCGATGTATGTACTGAAGCCCCCAGCAGCAGGCTATTTCAGAATGACGTCAGATTGCTTACCATAGTACGCAATACTATTTGTATATATATATATATATATATAAACTCTTATTTTCTCATTTACTTTCTTTTATAAAAATAATTTCTATTTTTTACTTGACCTTTTCTGTATTTGAAAATGGGGGTAGAAGCTTTTTATATAGTATATTTATATGAGAATATTTCCCCATACTATATAAAAAGCAACAATTGTCACATTTCTCCTAGACCCTTTTTCTATGTTTTTTAATATTTGCTGCCATTTCATTTTTAGGGGTCGGAAAAATGTCATATGGATGAAAAATAATGCTATACGAAAATAAATTTTCAGGGGTCAGAAAATTACTCTTAAACGGATTGAATTTGCTGGTAAAAATAAAAACTTCTCAACCGCTTTGCACAGTTCAACTGATTCCATAGATAAATGCAATGCCAAATTGTTTCTGATATATAATATCTTTCCTTCATGTTATTAAATATATGGGAGGCCACTGTTAAGACTCACTTCTCAAAATAAATCAAACCATCTAGACTTTGTCCTATTGCATTATGTGGTTTTAAGTCCAAGTATATAATATACCACCACATAAGTAATGTGGTGGTATGTTATATACACCTTATGATAAGGTATAAATATGGTGCCATCTGCTGCAGCTAAAGACATGTCAGATGTTGATGCCTTCAACAATTTAATATTCTTTCTAGATATTTTATTCCTCTTCTTGATATAATTTTACACTTTTTTTGGTTCACAGTCCAGTTAGCATTGTCCTTGGTTTGTTTTAAAAACTATACACAACTACACTACTAACTATACACAACTATACACAAAATCATGACCAAAAAAATTCCATTGTCTTGACTCCTGACTTTAACTAATGGCTACTAGTTAAAGTCAACAAGCAATTGGTAATGCAGTTTTTCCACAAGTTTTTTCATATTAGAGCCTCTTTTCTACTGTCTATATAAAATGATGAAAAAAAAAACTACATTAAAATTAGTACTTCAAACAGTTTTGAAATTTTATAACAGTGTTAAAGGTAGCCATTGCAAATCTTTTTACATATCTCCTACTTGTTGTACAACTAGGATAAAATGAAGTTCTTTGTTAAACTGATAAGAATGCTGACTATGTTGTCAAATGAACATAATTATACTGTTAGTTTGAAATTTTGCCAACATAAATAAATAAGGAAATATTAAAAAATATTTATCTAAATATTTCATCCAATAAAAAAAATTATTCATATATAAATACATATCGATTTTCATATATGAAATATAATAACAATATACATTTTCATATATAAATATAAAGATTTGTTTCTATTCACCCCATTTTACTGTAGCTATTCTATATCTCTACTTTTTTGTTATAACTAATTTATAATAAGTATAAATGGTAAAAATAAAATAAATAATAAAATAGTAATAGCAATAAAAATATTAACAATAGTTTTATTAGCAAAGTTATAATAAGAGATATACACTATATAAGAATAGTTTTATTAGCAAAGTTATAATATGAAATATATAAAAGTATAATACTAGTTTAATTTAAATAAATATAAAAAATAATTACAAAAAAAATGTGTTATAAATAAACTAGTAAACTAAAAAATATTAGCAAATGACAACAAATTAAAGTGTAAACAAATTATATAATATTTACATTATAACAGTATTACATTTCTAATTTAAAACTTATAATTTTAAGTTAATGTAGAATACATATTTATAATGTTAAATAATATGCATTCTGTAATAACTTGACAGAAATAAAGAGATTACAAAAATCTGTTGCATATTTGGGGCCGATCATTCCATGATGCCCTTTCTCTTTTAGACATGTTGCAAAAACACATTGAAAACATAGTTAGACCTGCTCTTACAGCCAACCTCTAACCATTATAACATCGTCATTATGTTGTTTCTCTTTCTCTTTTCTACAAATACGATAATGGACAATGCTCTAAAGAGCTAGAGTCTCTTGTGCTATCTACTAAACTTCATTCTCTTGTTACTCGTTATTCAATAATTTACTGTAACTGATCCAAAGTGCACCAAAAACTCTTATTTGTCTAATCTTTTACCTTGCACATCAGTTCTTTGGAATTAGCTTCCATCCTGATTCATATAATTTGCAATCTTTTAAGTCATCTGTCAATGTTCTATAAACTTCATCATTTTTCCTCCAGTAACTTACATTAGTGGTTGCTTGCAGCCTTGTTGGAAGCGAAGATGTTAAAAAAAAAAATTTAGAAACAAACTATATTTGATTTGTAATAATAATAATAACAACAATTTATTGATGAAATTTAGTAAAATAAAAATTAAAATAATTTATAAAAAAATTTTTAATGTTTATAATGATATACAAGAGTGAGTAATAACATACAAGATATATTATTGAAACAAATATATATATATATATATATATATATATATATATATATATATATATATATATATATATATATATATATATATATATATATATATATATATATATATATATATATATATGATTTAACGCACTAAATGATTATAAAAAAAATAAATCCACTCAACATGGGGTACTTTCTAGAACAACATAGTCATGTGCTAGACACACAGCTGAGTTCGTCATGATCATGACAAGGTATATCCAACAATCTAGATATACATAACTATCACTGAGAAACATTGTTTACTTTTACAAATTATAATATATATATATATATATATATATATATATATATATATATATATATATATATATATATATATATATATATATATATATATATATATATATATATATATATATATATATATATATATATATATATATATATATATATATATATATATATATGCTTGTTGTGCTCAGGTCAGTGAATACTTTTAAAACAAAAGTAGTATTTATTAGAATAATGAAAACAAAAAAGATTGTTCTCGGCTTTGTTTTAGTTTTACTAATGAATTTGTAGTAAATGAATTTTAATTAACTAATCAGTTATCTAAATAACATTAACACTAGCATCGGTATAAAAAACTTTACAAAAATTTTATAGGACATCTAAATTTATTATTACTACTATTTTTTTTTTAATCTAAAACGTCTTTTAAAATCTAAAATATTAAAAATTAATATATTTTTTTAAAAAGCGTTAGAGCTTGGGGTAAAATTTTTTACTTATAATATAAGTAAAAAATTTTACCCCAAGCTCTAACGCTTTTTAATATAAGTTATATTGAGAATATTTGGTTGCAAATCTTAATTGCTTATTCAAAACCTTCTAGGTCTCACACATTACAGTAAAAACCAAAGCACCATTTCAATGATACGCATTTAAAAACTAGAAATGCGATCGTGCATCGTTTCACCTATCAAAATCCGAAGGATAATATAATACAGAAAAAATTTTGATTTGAACTGCAAAGATTTGTCATCAAACATAAGGTCTATTCAACTTAATATGGGATAACCTAACATTATTGAGATAACTGGAACTCATGAAATGAAGCTGTTCCAACGTTCAATATGAAAGCTTAAACAAAACAAAAAATAATAATCCAAAATCCTTCAAAAATATTAGCTTCACTACAAACCTGTTACCATAACAAACATTATCAAAAAAAAATTATTTGTTTATTAATTAATGTCTGACTGATTTGTATTGTTATATCACTTATCTAAATAACGACTTTATTAAAATAATTTTTATAGGCCAATCAAAATAATTAATAACAAGTTAATTCACGTGGACGTAAAATAATTGTTGATTGGGTAAAAATACGAAAGTAATTGCATTAAAAATTTTTGCTTTAATAAATAACACTAAATCGTTTTAAAATATGATTAATAGGTTTCTCCTCCACATATCGATTGGGTCATCCATTTATTACGTACGCTCCTAGGGGGGAAGGGGGAGGTCTTCAAATAACGAACAAAAGCGTATGCTCTTTAAGTAACGTGATGTGACACGCAAAATTTAGTAAAAATGTGGGGGCTGCTATTATCTTCTATAAAATGGATGCTAAAGACAAAAAAATTTTGTTTGACTGTTTCATGTTTATACTTTACTTAGTCAGTACTTAGTCAGGAGAAGAAGAAAAGAAAAAATGTTGGACAAAATGTATTCCTTATGCAAAAGTGAAAAGCCTTAGTCTGTGAACTGGCTCAAAAATTTTGAAATTTTCAAAAAGATAAAGTTATTTATTTTATTGTACTTTTAGTGTTTTTTTACTTTATTTAATTTCTGCTTTTACTTCAATTTTATTTATTTTACTAACTAAATTAAAACATGAATCATGCACAACTTTTAACATCAAAATGGTATTGGAAAA